TTTTGGAAAAAGGTGCGTGAGCTTCCTTTTAAAAGGTAGATGAGATAGATGAGGCTTTCTTTGGACAACTGAGAGAAGCTTCCAGATTGCAGGCTCTGGTTCTTGTGGGGGACTTTAATCACCCTGACATCTGTTGGGAGACCAATATGGCAGTACACAGGCAATCCAGGAAGTTTTTGGAGAATGCTGGGGATAACTTCTTGGTACAAGTGCTGATGGATCCGACCAGGGGCCATGCGCAGCTTGACCTTCTGCTCAGAAACAGGGAGGAACTAATAAGGGAAGTAGAAGGGGGTGACAACCTGGGAAGCAGTGATCATGAGATGGTAGATTTCAGGATCCTGACCAAAGGAAGAAAAGAGAGTAGTAAAATACACACCTTGGACTTCAGAAAAGCAGACTTTGACTCCCTCAGAGACGTGATGGGCAGAATCCCCTGGGATGATAACATGAAGGGGAAAGGAGTCCAGGAGAGCTGGCAGTATTTTAAAGAAGCCTTATTGAAAGCACAGAAAGAAACCATCCTGATGCGTAGCAGGAGAAGCAAACACGCATCCTGATGCGTAGCAAGAGAAGCAAACACAGTAGCAGACCAGATTGGCTTAATGAAGCGCAAGACATCAGGCCCTTGAATAGCATCATCAGTTCTTTTTACTTATTTGTTAAACATCACAAGATAATAAGAAATATTTTTCACTAACATAAACAAAAATGTCCTTCTCCCAGAGCGCCTGCTTCTGTCACTTCCTTCCTTTGAAATGTATCATAGCATCAGAGATGAAGATTACCTAATCGGTCCCATCTTTCCAGTACTGTACCTCAATACTCCACCGCCACCCTCTCCCTGATTGGGTAAGAGAAGGAGTGTTCCTTACATCCTATTCTCCAAGTAGTGTCTAATCCATCTTTTAAAATTTCAGATTCTGAGACTTCTGTCATTTCCCTTGAGGAGACAATTCTACAAACCAATACAGGGTTTCTCAACTATTTCACACTTTTGGTCTCCAAACCATTTTTTTTTATTTTGTCTCATGTGAACCCATTTCCCAGAATCTATATGATCAGGTGGTCCCTTCATGCCTTAAACAATATTATTCTAAGCCTTTGTACTGTTTCAGTCCAAAAGACCAATACATGCTGTGTTACTAAGTTCACTGTAGCATAACCTGTGGGCAAAAAAAAAAAAAAGAGATCTGTGCAAAGTCAAAAGAGGTGTAGAAATTCACACAAAAATAAGTACAATCATTTTAAGCTTGTTTCATATTTGAACATAAGTTTGGTGTTTTTACCAATAGTACATACTAATGCCTGAATTTTGCAAAGATTTACATACATGAAGACTATGGGAAGAGTCATTGACTTAAGGGCACATTCCCAATGCAACTGAAATCAAATAGGAGTTTTGCCACAAGGGCAGGACCAGACCCTAACTTAACAGAGCTTGTATGTACATATATATATATATATGTTTAATTATTTTATTATAAATATTTTCTCTCTACATATTTGTGTGGGAAAAAGCTGCATATTCAATAAACCCAACTTATGCAATGATTTCCATTCAAATGATGGAGCACAGTTCAACAATTACTATTGGCCAGGATTGCTCTGGGGTCCTAAGCCTCTAACCATTACCTTATTGCGGTGGAGAGGCTAGTGTATTTCAGTGATCATCAGAACTACGTCTTCCAGAGTCTTGTACTTCTAGTAGGTCCTCCCTGGGCCTACCAGACCACCACAGTGCTGAGGTGAGGTTCCAGGTGAAGTACAGTCCAGACTTTTCAAGACAAGACCTTATAAGTAACAGTAAATGGTACCACCTATCACTGTTGACCAGAGTGGACAGCTATATCTGGCTTCTTCTGGAAAATTTGTTCTGGTGGACCAGGCAGTTAAGTAGATATGTTCATCTCCCTGGCTGTGAAGATGGATGTCAAGAACTGTGTGGACAGCCTAGGGCATCAGTTCAGATGCAGTAGGATCTGATGGCCACCCACGGCATCCAAACTTGTCTCCAGAAATCTCAGTGTTGTCATGCTTCTGGATTGCGACAGACCTGGATGAGAGAGGGGTGGTGACTCTATGTGATTTTCCCTCACTTAAATCCAGTTCACATGCTAATCATGATATCAACTACTCACCTTTTCTCATGTTCTGTGGTGATAGGTGAGCAGCAAAGCAGCAGGTGCAGATATACTAGGAGCTGTAGTTACAGACCTGCATATAGATGGCTCAGGACATAGGGTCACTTTTCACTGGACTGATGCAGCAGTGGAATATGGCAGCCCCTTGGGTGACCGAGCAGTCCTTTTTAGTATCACAGTGCTCTTCTCTGTGGTGTGCAAAGGCACCTTAAATACTGTCTAATTCACCTTCACCTTGGTTAGTATACCATAACCTATGGGGACTCTACTATAGTGGTCAAAATCACACAAGGAGTAACAGTAGTTCAGAATAGGAAGCCTAGTCCGAACTACCTAGTTCGTGCCGCGTGTAGCCGCGGGGCACGGAGTCTGAACTAGCGGACATTTAAAAATGGCGGCGCCCGGCAACATGCAAATGAAGCCCGGGAAATTCAAATCCCGGACTTCATTTGCAACTCTGGTTGACTACATTACCACCCTAGTTCGAACTAGTGGTAGTGTAGACATACCCCCAGAGAGTATTGTAACACAAGGCACTGTCAGTTACAGTGCCCTAACTAGTGGAGGAAATTGAAGGTACTAATAGCTCACCTAGCACTTGAGATAATGAAGCAAGCTTACTTATTCCATCTAACTTGTTCATCAATCTGCTTCCATTGTGCTCATCACTTTGGTATCTGATTGCCTGCACACCATATCACTGACACTTCCAGGTGAGTGTGAGCAAGAATGTGGAGTCCCACTAACTCTTATAGTGCTGGGTATTATTTCCCCTCACGTGAGTGTGTGAGAGGTGTGAAATTTAGTAGTTTGCATTTGGCCAGGTAGGGCATTTCTGCAGCACAGATCAACTGCACTGAAAAAGGGATAGAAGAAAGGGAATGAATTTGTTATCAGGAAATCAAACACATCCCTATCTACTATAACTCTCCAAGACCCACATCACCACTTCCCTGATCCCTACTTGGGCTGGTCATTTCCCATTGTCTCAGTCCTGTCATTTGGGCAACTTAGCACTATATCCATGCTTCTGTGGTGATGAGGCAGCATGGCAGTTCCTGGCCAAGTAGTGGACCTTATGAGCAGAATTTCTAGTTCCCAGTGGCATCACCTTGTAAGAAGTGGCTGTCGCACTAGACTGGGCCTTGGAATATGTTTCGAGATCAGAGGTTGCTATGATATATTGATAGTGGGTTTGGGCTTCTGAAATGCTGAGGTTGGGCCGGAAGTAGTATATCATGTGTTCTGTGAGACTGAATGAGGTTTGCTCTGGGATAGCTGATTTTTGGTGGGGCCCTTTTGCTCACTGAATGAGGGCTCAGCAGAGTTCTGGCTGTTTGTGGATATCCTGGTGGTGACTGGTTGGCGCCATGAGCTAAAAGAAGTAGTTGAGAAGTGGGCTAAATCAGACTTGGGCAGTGCCAGTGGCTAATGGCCAGAGGACATCACCAGGGAACTGCGTGGTGTGACCATTTCCATAGCATTCTTGAAAGTCTGCAGCACTCGCTCACTCTTGTGTTTCTCCTTCTTCTGCCGTGACTCTTCTCTCCTCTGCTGCCACCGTTGGTCTCGTATCATCTGCTTCTGTGTGTCCACCAGGCCTCTATGCAGCCAGAGATAGTGAAGAAGGAGGGACAGAGAAATGGGGAAGTAAACAGGAGGCTACTGTGGTTATAGGCCCTTGCCCTATTCCCTCAGGAAGCAGGGCTCTATGTTTAATCAGGACAACTTGCTGCTCCTTACTGCTTGGGTCCATTCTCTTTTCTGGCCACAGGCAGGAGGCTCTAGATACTGATGAGCTCAAAACACTTTCTTGGATTCATCTTCTCACGCTTTGTCTCCCTTTGATCATTCACCATTTAGATCTATTTGTAGTTCCTTGGGGCCTGGTTCTCGGCTGCCCTGTATCTATGTAATTATTTATATCTTTGCAAACTGAATGTGAAGTGGGTATAACATAGTACAAAATCCTAATGCCATTATTCTAACACCTCCTCCACTCCCACTTTGCATTCAGTTTGGCTACGTCTAGACTGGCCCCAAATTCCGGAAAAGGGATGAAAAGCAGGTAAGTCAGCATAGGGAAATCCGCGGGGGATTTAAATATCCCCCGCGGATTTAAATAAACATGTCCGCCGCTTTTTTTCCGGCTTGGGGAAAAGCCGGAAAAAAAGCGTCTAAACTGGCGCGATCCTCCGGAATAAAGCCCTTTTCCGGAGGATCTCTTATTCCTACTTGAAATTTAGCTATGTCCATTGTGTAGCTTAGGTCAAAATAGCTTATTTCAGCTTTTTGCGCTGTCTACACAGCAGGATGTCTGAGTTAGAGCATTCTTCCTCCAACTCCCTTACTCCTAGTAAAATGAAGGTTACAGGAGTCAAAGTAAGAAGTTCTCCAGCTCAACATTATTTTGACATTATGTCGAAATAACTGCTTGTTGTGTAGACGCGGACTATGTTATTTTGGAATAACATCAGTTATTCCAAAATAATGCTGCTGCATAGATATAGCCTAAGTGTGGCTGCTCCCCTCTTTAATTCTCCTTCTTCTTTCAGGGTCCCTGTATGATACTGATATTGCTAAGATCTGTCTCATGGTGTCTGTACAGGACTTCATTTAGACCTTGACCACACTACTCCAGAAAGAGGACAATAGTAGCATATATCTCCAACTGACTGCCACAGTACACTCCTCCTTCTGCTTCTCCCTCTGCAAATATGTACAGCACTTCCAGATTGTGGAGGAAGATGCACTGCTACCCGGACTCTCATGGAGCTATCTTCTTTCCCCTAAGCCAATAGAACTATACTACAGCCTTCACAAATTTGTCCCAAACGTGTAGGGGAATGTAAGCTTTATTTTCTAGATTCAGTAGCTTTGACTATCCCCCACTCCTCTACTTTCCCAAGTCATAGGTCACTTTGTTTTAGCGTCTTTCCATCACTTAACCTTCCACTTTTCAACAGCTGACCTCCCTCTTGGCTTCTCTGCTAAGGTTCCTCCTCCTCTTCTTTAGGCTTCTCTGTTGGCTGCTTCTCTTTTAAATAACTGATTTAAAAGGTGAAAGAAGAGAAATCAGGATTTAAAACCAGTATAATGAACCTTGTCCGTCCTTCCATATTTACTGGGAAGAAGGCCATGAAAAAATTGTCTGAGGTGTGAGTGACCTGGACATCAAAGTTAGACCAGTTCTGCCTCTTTGGGTATGTCTACATTACCCCGCTAGTTCGAACTAGCGGAGGTAATGTAGTCATCCGCAGTTGCAAATGAAGCCCGGGATTTGAATTTCCCGGGCTTCATTTGCATGAAGCCGGCTGGCGCCACGCGGCACAGACTAGCTAGTTCGGATTAGGCTTCTAATCCGAACTAGCTATACACCTCGTTCCACGTACAGCTAGTTCGGATTAGAAGCCTAATCCGAACTAGCTAGTCCGTGCCGCGTGTAGCCGCGCGGCACGGGGTCCGAACTAGCCGGCATTTAAAAATGGCGCCGGCTGGCTTCATGCAAATGAAGCCCAGGAAATTCAAATCCCGGGCTTCATTTGCAACTGCGGATGACTACATTACCCCCGCTAGTTCGAACTAGCGGGGTAGTGTAGACATACTCTTTGATACATGTGTGACAGTAACAGTATGGCACACATTATAGCACTGAAATAGACCCAGCTGGATAGGAATAGATTAACATTTGCAAAACTGGCCCATACGCTTCAGACCTTAAATCTAGGATACAATGTGAAATATTTAAAATCTGTGGAGGCGTTTGAATGGTGAGGATAGAGAGACAAAATTACCAGAGCTTTGAGATCATCAGTCACATTTGAGCATGGCTGCAAATCAAAGGGCAATTTCCATTCCCAGGACAAGTGGCTTGGCCTGCAGCTCCTAACAACCTTGGAGTGTCCAACCACTCAGATTCTCAGAACTTCCACCCTGCTGCATAGGCTGATATTTATTAAAAATTATGGAAGGCACTGTTTGAAAGCAGATTTGTGTGGAAGACCAGGACCTTTAAGAAGGACCATAGAAGGAAGGAAAGAAATGGAGGTGTGTCAAGATGAAATGGAAAGTCTGAAAAAAGAAATTTGCTATCTTGAGTTTCAGAGTGTAGGGTGATGCTGAAATGATATCTGGAGGGTCTATAGCAGTCACACAACATGTACAGCAGTGAAAATGCTATTCAGCTGTGAGATACATGCCATTTCACAGCAGGCTCAGGAAACAAGGGATTTTGTGGTATATGAGAAGAATGCAGAAAAATATAGACCCTCGGGCCTGAATCAAAAAGGTTGCTGTGCATACAGCTGGTATTCTCACCTCTAAGCTATTTAAAAGACATTCTGTAATCGAGTCACAGAGTGAAATGGATACCTGAATGACCAATACCATGTGCTCCAGATCTGTCCCCTCTTCTAGTGTGAACTAGCATAGGTTCATTAGGGTACATCTACACTGTGGGGGTTTTCCGGGATACCAGAGGTATTTCAGAAAAATTCCACCTCGTCCAAGGAACACGTTTGCTCTTCCACTTTTTTTTTAGGAAGAGCAAACGCGCTCTTTCGGGCAACCCTATATACCTCAACTACAAGTCTAGATAGGGCCAAATGGCGGAAAAGCCTCTTCCGGAAAAGCAATCAGAAAAAGCTAGTGTAGACCTAGCCTCAGTGTCAATCAGAACTGAGACAAATAAAGAAAAGAAGAAAATGAGAGAGAAACCAAGCGTAGGAGATGCTTCGCTCACCTATAATCCACCATCCCTGTCCGGTGCTGGTCCAACTTGTGTACCAATTCCACAATCTGTGCTCGATCCAGTGGAATTCTTGATTGCTGGTAGGACAAGGGAGACAGAAGAGTTGTTATTATCTACCTTCTTCTGGCTCCCAGTGGCTAAAATACAAGTGGTGCCATGCATCTTGGCTTCTTTGCACAAAGAACTCTTTTTATTAGAATGGGAAGCACTCATTAGTTAATAACTAGGTAAATAGCCTAGAGCAATTAGGAAGGGATAGTGGCATAGTCCACTTTACTAAGGAGTCAAGAAAAAATGCTGTTGTTTTTTTATACCCCTTGTTCATCAGGTGTAAATAGGATCATATGTTGAACTTTAGACACTTTCTTACAGGCACAATGTTGCACTGATCACCATAGTTGAGGCCAGGGAGGGATTTTTTTTCCTCAGGTTCTGTGGGCAGGGACTAAAATGGTTTTGCTTTTCCTCATATCACTGAGCAGAGATCATCCATAAAGATCCAATAGACATATTCCACAAAGTCTCCTTTCATCATCTGTTTCTCTTAAGTACCCTGAAGGAACCAGAATAGATGGGAGATGAAATGCTGGGATTTTACATGGTTAATGTGATTCCAGAATGGATCCATGGTTATTTTGCCATCCACATCAGATATTAGGTTCCATGGCATTTCCTTTAGCCCTCATTCAGGAATAAGTGTTTCGCAAAGCACATGTGGAATTAACCTAGTGGTGTGAGCTTCCTTACAACAGGGCACAACCAGCGCCAGCTGGGAGCTTCAGCAATGTGAACTTCCTCATAACAATACCTGCTCCAATAAAATTAGAGCACCATATTTCTGAATCACACCTGCATCATAGCTTTCCGGAACTCTGCCACAGGGATCTTCATACTTCCATCTTTGTCCATGTTCCTAAAGAAATCCCAGAGTCTCAACTTGTGTTCATCCAAGTAATTCTAGGTAAAGCAGACAAACAAAGATGAAACTGAAATAATATTCAGTAATGCCTCTATCACTTCCCTAGGGCAACTATTCCGCAGTCGAGTATCTTTCTAGGTATTTATATTGTGCTCATTATTGTGATATTGGAGCATCTCATGGAGTCCATTGTCCTGATTTTCATGCTAAATTTTTCTTTGCACAAGTTCATTCCATTCTTCCTACTTAGATCCCATGGGAACAACCCTAAATAATTTTTCGGTCTCCTTGCTCTTTATCCTTCAAATATTTATATATAATTCTCAAGTCCCCACCCGACAAGTCATTGTTCAGTCAAGTGATATTTAATTCTTTGCATCTATCCTCCTAAGTCAGTCCCTGCCTTCAGGTGCCTGATTGTTTTTATTTCCCTTCTCTGAACTTCTGCCACTCTGACAATGTCTTAGTAATTTCCAGGGATCCAGACATGGATGTAATATTCCAGAAGAAATGAGCTAGAGTGCCATTGAGAAGTGAAGCCAAGAAAGTAACTGAAATATTTCTCTGATAGATTGTATTTACTGAGGGACAACGTATACTAGATTCTCGATTACTGTGGAACAATCTACACTCCTTACTATATTTGCTTTCCACAAGCTGCTTTTAGTATAACTCTTTATAAGTGATGTACTCAAATGTTTGGATGCTAATATTTAAACTGTATTCTTAAACTTATCAGCCTTAATTTTAGGTATTGCAAATTATATATCATATGTATTTTATGATTTTTTAAACCAAACTTTTTGGCTGCGTCTAGACTGGCAAGTTTTTCCGAAAAATGCTTTTGCGGAAAACCTTGCCAGCTGTCTACATTGGCCGCTTGAATTTGCACAAGGACACTGACGATCTAATGTAAGATTGTCAGTGTTCTTGTGCAAATACTATGCTGCTCCCATTCGGGAAAAATCCCTCTTGCGCAAATGTATTTGTGCAAGAGGGCCAGTGTAGACAGCTAAAAACTGTTTTGCACAAAAAAGTCCTGATCGCGAAAATGGCGATCGGGGCTTTCTTGCGCAAAACCGCGTCTAGATTGGCACGGACGCTTTTCCGCAAAAAGTGCTTTTGCGCAAAAGCATCCGTGCCACTCTAGACGCTCTTTTCCACAAACGCTTTTAATGGAAAAACTTTTCCGTGAAAAGCATTTGCGGAAAATCATGCCAGTCTAGATGCAGCCCTTATGTTTGGGTAATTTAAACATTATATATACACTTTTTTTAACTTGTCTATTAGATCATTTTAACATTAGGTTTATTAAAAATGGTTATTCCTGATGCCATGTAAAAAGGCACTAGAATTTTCTTGTTGAAAATTACAGTGCTTCTGCACCTACAACCCAAAACCAGCTTTATCTACTTTAGATACCATATTCTGTTGCAAACACATGGGCTACATCTAGACTGGCATGATTTTCCGCAAATGTTTTTAACTGAAAAGTTCTTCTGTTAAAAGCATTTGCAGAAAAGAGCGTCTAGATTGGCACGGACGCTTTTCCGCAAAAGCACTTTTTGCGGAAAAGACGCGGTTTTGCGCAAGAAAACCCCGATCGCCATTTTCACAATCGGGGGTTTTTTGCGCAAAACAATACCGTGTTGTCTACATTGGCCCTCTTGTGCAAAAGCATTTGTGCCAGAGGGCTTTTGCCCGAACGGGAGCAGCATAGCATTTCCGCAAGAACACTGACAATCTTACATGAGATCGTCAGTGTTCTTGCGGAAATTCAAGCGGCCAGTGTAGACAGCTGGCAAGTTTTTCCTCAAAAGCAGCTGCCATGTTGTGTTTGCTGTTAATTTTCATCACAAGTGACTGTCAGCTGCTAAGATCTGTTCATGCAGTGAACAATTCTCTGTGGCTCTCACCCCCTTTCCCACCTTCAGTGCAAACAGCTGTTCCAAATGTACTCAGGCTGTACACTTAGGGCTGGATTTTGAGGTCCTTCAGACTTGAAAAATACAGGCAGTCCCCGGGTTACATGGATCCGACTTACATCGGATCCCTACTTACACACGGGGTGAGGCAACCTCGCACTAGCTGCTTCTCCCCAGCAGACCAGGGAGACGCGGAGTGGCTTTTTTCAGCAGACACCTCAGCTTGAGAATAAAGGACTGAGGTGTGGGAGAATAAAGCTGAGCTCTGGAGAAATGTTTGGCTAGAGTTTCCCCTACAATATGTACCAGTTCCGACTTACATACAAATTCAACTTAAGAACAAACCTACAGTCCCTATCTTGTACGTAACCCGGGGACTGCCTGTAGTTTGTATAGATCCCAACACCTCTATTCAAAGCCACATATACAGTGTTGCAGAGGTTAATTGGCTAACATTCTGCTTAGGCACTGAGGAATGCAGCCATGTTAGCAAGGGTGTTGATAGCTTCCATGGGCCCCCGGGCAAGGTATGGGGGGGCCTGGCTCCCACCCCAGGAAGGAATGGGGCCTCAAGTGGTAGGGACGGGCCGAGCCAAACCAGCACTGAGCACTGGTCTCAGCACTGCCAGGAGCATGGCATACTGCCCCACCCCCAGCCTTTAGAGCCATGCAGAGCACGCTGCATGGTGCTCCTGTGGTGATTAAAAGGGTCCAGGGCTCCAGCTGCCACGTTAATAATGGCACCCTGGACATGAAAAAAATGTTATGCAGCTCACCAGGTCTGATTTTGGGCATCTCTTGTCCCAGCAAAGGGAGAGATCGCCACCTACTGTCATTTGCACAAATTACAGGCCTTTGAAAATACCCCATGGCAGTAGTTTGTGGTAAAATGTGTATTTATATATATATAT